GCAGAATGTTCCGTTTTGTGGGACGCAGAGAGTCGCTCAACAGCATCAGAGAACTGGGATCGAACCTAAGGCTGTCGTCTGCTCTCGCCCACAACACTCCCAGGACCTTCTTCTCATTTGACCCGCCGTCAAGAAGGGAGACTGGGCCACTGCAGTCAGCATCCCTTACTCCTGACAGAGCTTTGTTGCTAGCCCATTTTCGCATGTTCATCTTCGCTTCACAAAAAATCTGTTTCGTTTCCTGGATGAAGTTTTCCGCCTCCTCCTCGGTTTTCAGACTGGTGAGCAGGTCGTCGCAGTACAGATCAGTGCTCAACCGCAAAGCCGACGAACTCCAGACGTCACTGTACTGACTCAAGTGTCGCTTGATGGTCGCTTGGAGAAGAAATGGCGACGCGCTGACCCCAAAGATGACACGTGTCATCCGAAATACGGATGGTTCTTCTCCCGGGGTTACTCGCCACAAAAATCGAGTCACATCTCGGTCTTGTGGATGCAGACTTATTTGCAAAAAAGCCTTCTCAATATCCGCTGACACGGCGACTTGATAGAGCCGGAAACGCAGCAGTATTCCAGCAAGATCTGTGATCAGATTTGGCCCGGGAAGAACACAGTTGTTGAGAGAGTGGGGCTCCCCGGCGGATGCGTCAAACACGATTCTGATCTTCCCATTTTTGCGCACAGCATGGTGTGATAGAACATGTACCGGACCGTCAGGCTTGGCGGGGGCTCTCTCTGCGTAGCCCTCGTCTATGTATTGCATGAGAGCCTGACTGTACTCCGGTAGTCGTCCACTGCGCTCTAACGTCTTCTCACAACGCTCTAGGCGTGCTCGTGCGAGACTGTCATCCTCAGAAAGGTCGGCGAAGTTTTCATTTTTGGGCCAACGAACCTCGTATCGACCGTCGTCAAGACGCGTGCACGTGGTTTCAAAATGAGCCACCGCCTCCTCTTCTCGAGTTTGTTTTTCTTCACACGAACTTGCAAACGATGGGCTTCTGATGCCAATGGATTCTAAGTCCCAGAGCCGCTCGAGGTCATCACTTGTGCTGCTTGCCGTTTGCAGAAAGAAGACTTGTTTCGTTTCTTCCTCAGAAGAATGGAGCCGGCCTCCCAAAATCCACCCGAAAATGGATTCCATCGCGATTGGGCCCGACTTGTTTTTACGGATCCTTCCCGTCATGACATCCTGATATACATCTATGCCCAGCAGTAAGTCTATCTCTTGACCTTCCTTCCAAAGTTCCGGTGGGTCGGCCAGCTGCAGCTCCTTCAGATGGGTCATATCCTCATCCTGTATTTTGAGGTTTGTGTTTACAGGGGCACATATTGCTTCGATCTCTGCCACATTTATCGTGAGGATATTATCTGAAGTGTCTTCCACCTTCTTCAATGTGACTGCCACTTTCTTCATAGATTTATAGCACTTATCAGCGCCGCCAAACGTCGATACATTTGTGTCTTGTTCTCCGATCTTCTCACAACCCAACTTCGTGGCCAGCTTCTTTGTAATGAACGACTGGTTAGAGCCTGAGTCTATCAGCACCCGGGCGCACTCGGTACCCGCTGGACCGAGAGCAACAACGCGAGCGGTCTGTAATGCCACAGCCGTGCTCTCTTGGATATGCGACCGAGCCGCTAGTACCTTGGCTGGACTTCCTGCGGCTTTAGATTCAGGTTCAAAGCAGAGCAGCTCATGATGTTTGCGCTGACACTTGCCGCATGTCTTCTGGAGTTCGCAGGTGCTGGCGATATGCCTCGGACGTAGGCAAAGAAAGCAAGACCCAGAAGTGAGCAGCCGTTTACGTCGGTCGTCGATGCTCATCCTTTCCACTTCTGGACACGTCTCCGATTCATGTGACTGTTCACAGAATGAGCATCTGGGCCGCCCGACTCTTGAGTTCACCTGTAAGGCTGAGGCCGATCGCACCGAACTAACCTTACTCGACTCTTTTGCGTACCGCGCTTTGGTGTCATTCCATGAAGACTTTCTTTCAAGATCGTACAAAGTTCGATTCCTTGCCTCCAGGTACTGCTGAGCCGTCTCGGTCATCTCTTCTAGCGATGATAGCTTCCTCTCCTTCAGAAATAGTCTGAGCTCAGCCGGACACGTTATCATGAATTGCTCTCTGATCATGAGCTCTTCCAGGGCGTCTCTTGAGTCATCTGTTTCTTCCAGGGCGATCCACTGTTTTAGATACGCCTGGAGCCTGACCACAAATTGTTGTGGGGTCTCGTCTTGTTCGGGCCTTGATTCTCTCAACCTCCTTCTATATCCATCGGCTGTCAATCCATAGCGCTTCAGCAACGCATTTTTCAAGTGCATATAGTCTGCCGCGTCTTCGACTCCCAGTTGATGATAGACATCGAGAGCTTTCCCCGTTAGCAGGGCACTGAGAGAGACTGCCCACTGGTCCTCCCCCCATCCCGCCGCGCGGGCGAACCTTTCGAAACGTTGGAGGTAGCTGTCCATTTCATCTCGGCCTTCCATGAACGGCGGCAGTTTCGGTGTCTGAACAGTAGCTGTTGCTGCTCTAGTGACGCTGGATATCTCGCTTTGGTATTGAAGCTTTTCGAGTTCATGTTTGCGTTCCTTTTCCCTTTCCTCTCTTTCCTTTTCGCGTTCTTCTCTTTGTTTCTCATACTCCTGTCTTTCTCTTTCGTGCTCCTCTCTTTCCTTTTCTCGTTCTCTTTCACGTTCCAGTCTTCGCTCCTCTCGCTCTGCATCTTTATCCATGCGTTCAGATGCAAACTTGAGAGCTTCTTCCCCGTTTAGTCCGTGGCGAGCCGCCAGTTCTAAGTATTTCTCCATCGTTGTCCTGCCAGGGTCGCCAGTATGTTGCAAGTGGCGGCTGCCTGATTTTATCTTTAATATTGGCTTTAATTTGTTATCAAGGATGCTCACGTCAGGTTACGTTAAAATCAAATCAGTGGTATTAAAACTATAATCCCTATATATATGGCCTTGCTATTATCAGACAATCAATTCATTGTTCCGATCCAGGTCAATCTATATTTTTTCCGTCCCCATTTTTCTCAGCTCACACTCATTTTTTTTTTATCATGCCGCTGCACGTGCTCAAATTCAGCATCATCATCTGCGGCACGTAACAGCAATTATTACACCTGAACACCACAGTACGTAGGTAGGCATGTACAGTCTGTCTTAAAAGTACCGCGCAAAGTGACGGTGGATCCATCAAGCCTAACCGAGGTAGGGCCTGCTATGATTTGAAAGTCACCGAACCAATTGACTTGGGAATGGAAAAGGATGTCAATTGCTTCGGTGACTCAACTTTAGCAGGCCCTTCCTCGGTCAGGCTTGATGGATCCGCCGTCACTTTGCGCGGTACTTTTAACCCGCGCCCCACTGGGGTCTGCGTATAACGCGCCCTACTGGGGGGGGGGGGGGGCTATTCATAGCCCCCCCTCCTAACTCCGAAACTACTGGGCCGATCGTCAAAATTCAAACGGCGTCTGATAGCCCCGGAAAAACTGTCGAGCGAAACCTAATTTCATTGACCTCGAGGTCACCGATGACGTCACAGGTCAGGTCAAAGTAAAAATTATTAGCATTTTGGATTCTTCACGTTTTGGGCTCTGGCCGCCGTCTTACAAGTCAGATCAGGCTCATTTTTGGTTCACACACTCGTGAACAGATGCTCTAGATACTCTGAGGGTACCAAACTTGTACTTTGATTTTCAGGTCAAGGTCAGGTCATCACAGGTCACGAAAATATTATATCATCCGTCGGTCACGTGACACATGTTTTATGGTCCATTTAGGCCAAACATTTCGAATTTGATGTCGTCTGTGTCATTCGAGGTCATTTTGAGTCAAATTTAGCTCAGGTCAGGTCACTTTCAGGTCAAAAAAGGTCAAATTTTGAAGTTAAAATTTTTCAACAAAAAAGTATCTATTGGATGCAGTTTGAGCTCAGGAACACGATGGTGCTATTTATATTGGCGTACGATGTCAAAGTCGTGCTGAAAAATTGATTTGAAAAATTAATATTTGTTAATTTTTTGCAATAATGCGTATAACTTGGCCATTTTTGAAGATATTTAGCTAAAACTTGCTAGAGTTAGTCATAATAATGCGTTCTATCACATATATTCCGGTTTTTTCGAAAAGTCAATAAGTTTTTGAAACAAATGTAAAAATATACATTTTGAATTTTATTATATAAAATTTTCGAAATTTTCAAAATTTCGAAAATCCGAGATAGCAGTTTGATAGCGCATTCTATTTTGAGTCCTCTCATGCAAAGAAATTGGATCTAGCTTAAAAACTGAGCTATTGGGAGCGATTGCCGTGGTTCAATGTTTTGCGTCGAAATCGGCCGAACATGACGTCACTCTGACGTCATTTTCGGCCGACCTATGGTAGGTACGAAGTTCAAATTTTGACACAAGGTGTCAAATTGATGCAGCCGAAGGTACTGAAAGTTTGGCGTCGATACGTCAAGCGGTTTGGAAGTTATTGCAGAAAAACGGGAGGGGGGGGCTATAAATAGCCCCCCCCAGTGGGGCGCGGGTTAAGACAGACTGTACAGTAACGCAATTGCATATGCTAATGCTGAAAAAATATGAATTAATTAACAGAAGATATTACAAGAATAATAGTTTGACTATAAGTATATTGAAAGAATTGAAATGTTATGATAAATATTACTGCTTATTCTGTGCTTTTTCTTTAAAAAAATTAATGAATACTTACTTTCAGAAGCGACATGGCCTGTTGCCCTCAGTTTGTGGGGTGCTGCGATCATTCGTGTCCGAGACGTCAGCTCGCAAAATGCGCTAGTAGGGTGGTAGCAGCATGGTAGTAGCGTTCGTGACACAGTGCACCAGGCACAGACCTTATTGCGATGAACATCCTGCTCGTGTGCAAAAAAAGATTAGGTAGCAAGCAATTAGTACTGAAACAAGCCCAAGGTTCTACCAAACCCTCAAACTGGTCACTCAGTTTGTAGAAGGTGTAGAGGAAAAAGTAATAAGATTGCAAGGGTTTCACATATATTTTGTTTTACACTAGTAACAAACGTTTAGTAACACAAGTTTTCAGTAACACACAAGGGACACCAGCGTGCGACATTCTGCAATACCTCCCAGTGTGCAATTGCAGCATCACACTGAGCAGCAATATCTGCCGTGCAAAACATTCGTGAGCTGAGCACTCAACACGACACAAGGCATTCGTTGCGAAACATAGGAACTCCAGTTACGAGTCAAAAGTAAAACACCATCCAAACACTCCCTCAAATCACGTCGCATCCATACATCCGCGAAACACACGCTTGCACAGCCCTGCCACAACCGTTACGTATTTTTTAACACGACGGCGGTTTTGCCTAGTGAGCTGGCCGACCGGCGGATTTTGCGCCGCTCGGCCTGGTGGCGCAGCGCCTTCTCGCGCCGCCGCGAGTCGCGCTTCTTACCAGCCGGGGGCGAACGTCATGGTTCCTGAAGCCGGACACATGCTGCACGGGTCCGTCGCTCTGCTGGCGCCGCAGCCGGTCGCCGAGCGGCACGCGTCGCGCGCGCCGGGCGCCGCCGGTGATCTCGCGCACACTGTCGCCATGCAGCACGCGCACCGGCAGCGCAGCCGGGTTGGCCACCAGCTCGGCGGGCCGTTGGCGCCGCTCGAGCTGACGCTGCTGCTGGCTCCGCTGGAGCTCGGTGACGTATTCCTCGCCGTCGGAGCTGTCCTCGGAGCTGGGCCGTCCCTCGAGCTCGAGTTCCTCCTGGAGGCGGCACTCCTCGGCCAGCCGCTGTCCGCGCTCGGCCTTGGCGGCCCGCTGCTCCTCCAGCGAGCTGAGCACCGGTTTCAGCAGCCTGAACGTGTCCGACTCGTGATCCATCGTGAAGTCGGGGTTCTTGAACATCGCCTTGAAGCGGTTGTCCTCCAGCAGCCCATGAGTCGTCTTCCTCTTCTTGATGTTAGACGACTTGGCACCGTGCATCAGATTCAGCGCCACGTCTGTTGACTGAGGGCCGCTTGTCCAATTTGACGCCGCTGTCGCGTATGGCATCCAGCTTCTCCTTGATCTTCATCTTGCGGTAATAATCGAACGAATCATCAAGTCCTCGGCCCTCGGGTACTCAGCATCTGCTGGCAGACACAACGGGGGAGTAGCGATATAAGTCTAGACAAACAATTGGCACACCCTAAATGAGATAAACGTGATTTGTTAAATGAATGCCATGCGGCAGTAAGACAGTTGTGATTTGTTTTTTTTTTTTATACAATTTTAAATTATGTCCTTTAGCACTTTAAAAGTTATTTAACCGTATCACAAACCTAAGGTTACATTACATACTTTCACAGCTTGCTGATTAAGACGCGCAGCATTAAAAAAAGACCCCGTGGAGCCTACATTTTTTGGGCGATTTTGCGATAATACAAGAACGCGATGCCCTTGGCGATGCCAGAAAATGTTCACCTAGCGCAAACGGCTGGGGTGAGCCAAACTGCGGAAATTGCATTATTGCATGAAATGTCATGCAATATTGCTCAAATAAATTCTCGCACATTATCACAAAAAAAGTTCAGAATCTGATTTTTTGGCAATAATGCGATGTTATCACAATGACAAAATCACACAGAAAAATTGCGTAGTGGAGCCTGGGCATCAGAAGATTTAAAATTTGTAATTGTCAGGATTGTTACCAACACGTTGCTATCTTCCATCCTTACACCAAACCCAAGGCTATATTGATATAAACCAAACCAAACCTCACCTTTTCAAGGATCTTGCAGCCAACGCCGGATTGCAGGCACCCACAATTGCAATGGCAAAGATCGTAACCCACACAGTCGCGTCCAACCTCCAAGGCAGAAGGCTAATAACGTACCTATAACCTGATATCAACCAAGATACCTATAAGAAACCTATGTCCTATACCGCCTATACCTATAAGATATATACCTATAAGATATCAACCGCCTCGTCCCACAACCAAAACACAACACCTACGCTGGAAATCGCCACCAAATCGCCACTTTGGAAATTGCAAGGGAATCTTGGAGTTGGCGGCCAAATCTCCTGTTAACGTAGTGGTAATCTCATTTTGAACCACACAATAGGGTATTTTTGGGTATAGCGCCTTCCTTTGGTTGGAAAAACGAAACACGCACCGTAGTCGTTCAAACTGACGTCACATAAATGAAATTGTTCGGATTTTATTATTATTTTATTATTATTATTTTTTTGGGTTAGGCCCTTTCGGTCTGACAAGACCATTGCAGAGCCGGAAGGATGATAGGAATTAGGGGGAGACATTGGTCTGGGCAGGCACCCTAGTGAATCGCCGGGGCTGAGCCCGTCCAGACGACAGGCCACCCAGCCCCAAGGCACTCACTGCACCCGGCTACGGGGTGCGCTCCCTCGGGAGCAGCGGTGCCGCTCCAAGGGAGCAGCCCGCATGAGATAAAGTTGCCTGTCCAGCCCGGAGGGGGGTTGTGGCGTGGAGGAGAAGGATTTCAGTATCCTGAGGATAGAAGCACGGAACGGTGTTCGGATTTCTTGTCCTCCCGAGAACATCTACCGCCAGTCTATCTTCACAGCTAGTTTGGCGGTGGGGTGCGATCATCTGTTTCCGTGGGGAGGCGGCTCGGATGGCAGGGGCGCCTCGTGCCCTAATGTGCGCGCCACAGTCGGGCATCGCGTCCCATTAGACCCGGGCCGTATCATAGCCCCCATAGCTGGCCTGTCCCTCCCGCCCACCGCCCGGCCGGTCGGCCGGTCCGCCGCCGTCAGCGCGGCGGTGTGCAGCGCTCCGGTCACGTGACCACTCTGCGCCGGCCGTGACGGACGGGCTGTTCCGGTCACGTGACCGGCCTGGCCACTCGCCTGGAAGCGTTGCCACGGCTCATTGCCTGCGGGCCCGGCCCTCCGTCATATAGCTGCCCTAATGGCCAGTCGCCGCGGGGCCGGCGGACGGCATCGGGCCGGCTGGATGGAGCGATGAATTGGAATGTTTTTATTTTATTGGTTTGTTGTTTCATGAGTTATGCATTAGCCAGAGAATATCGGCCCTGAGAAATGACCTGGAAGAGTACTTATTAAGCAGCCTTGGCGAGCAATAGTCATAATGCGCTGGTAACGCCTGCAATATAGCACTGCACCATTTCATGTGGTATTGACCACTTGGGGCGGACCACTCGTGATTGGCTGTTATATTTTTATTCTATTTTATTTCTCCTTTGTCGCATTGAGGGATTATGGAATGTCATTTATTCCTTTGTGTACTTAATACCAAAAGTCTTGATAAATACTTCGGCATTGAATTAGCGTCCTTCAACCAGTCAGAGCTACGATAATCTCGAAGCTAGAGTCCCAGTTGTAGCAGTTTTAAACCTCTTTCTTTTTGCCTGAAATTACCAAGAAATCTAATGAAAGACAATGCTTGGCTTGCTGGTCCAAGAGAAGAAAATTAGGATGCCTTTGTGCTTAAGAGATATTAAGTCGCCAACGGTTCTACATTTAAGTAACTTTTAGGTTTACTCATCCCTTGACTTAATGATTTTCTTTAAAAAACTGGTTGTTAAAAAGTGACGGAAATGTAAAATACTCCAGATAGGACGACACTGAGCAATTGTCCACAGCCAGCGCATGGTTTGACACATATGCCCATAAAAAATTCCTCCTGTTACTGGGTGTTAATATTTCGAAGAACAGTTTTACGAGAGAACGCTCTGAAAATATATAACATCGAAACTGAACGGAGACAAAGGGTGCTGTCACGTCCAATTTCCATATTTTTGCCGCCGAGATCTCGTTTCAGTGCCAGTGGAGACCATTGATTTCATTCTGAAAGCGTCCGAGTATTCTTCTTAGAGCCGAGAAGTCACAAACTGCAAAATGTCTTCCCTGACGGACTTAGTGTTAGCCCAACCCAACAAAGGGTAACCAGGTTAGGCAGATGGAAAACGACTGCAGAGGTAAGCGCACAATCCAAAGACGAACCAAACGTCGGGCAAAAGCAGGATAACTAACACTGGGTGGCTAAATTCAGACCTGTTAACTTCACCGATAACTCCCAGCGTTTTGCGTTGATATATTAAAGAAAATGTTATACAAACGCTATTTAGAGAGTCGTTTAAGCTCTACAATGCCTTCATTTAGCGGCATTTGCTCAATATGCATTAGTTGATGTGCTGCTGTAAAAGTCAATATTGATGCACATTACCCATGCAAGTTTTGAACAGCTGCCAAGTTGTCTCGTAAGCTGCTGACGTGTACAATCTACACTGAATGATATAAAACCAATAGATCGGCTCGTATTTCTCGGTGTTTTGAAAGCAGCTTGTCAGTCGCTACAGAAGTTGCCTCATAAATAAATCCACTTAAACTTATGTGCACGGTCCTGCAGCATACAAAAGTCGCCATGCAGGCCATAACAATAACCGTTCAGTGCGAGGCCAGTCGAGTGAGCCAATGCAGGGGCTCCATGCAACTCGACAACTCCGATCGTTAGGTCAGTGTATCCTACAACCTCAGTCCCTCGTACCCCTCATTATAAGCCACCCATCCCCACGTTTTGATACCATTGGCCACCCTCCCCAATCCTGATGCAAACTGGCTAACCCCCCCCCCCCCCCAAATATCCCGTGTGCCTTTTTACCCTCCCCCCTTATATCCCACGTGACTTCTTCCCCTGCGTTGCCGCTGCTATGGTTTATAGACCGGCCACCGTCCCCTAACGTTCCCGGCACCGATATACCACAAACCGACTCAGATCGCGCCCTGCCGTGCTGTGGCATCTTTGGCTCGTATCCCGTGGTATTCGGCGGCGCATGTGTCGGACCACACACAGCGATTGGTTATTGTCGCATGGTCACATCGATTGGTGCGACGTCATCAGATGGGGGGGGGGGGGGAGGCTGGTCGACTAGCCGTGCGGCAGTTCATTCTTCTTCTGGATGAGAGAATTAGCGATAGGGAGCATACAGCAGAAATATTGACCTAGGATCAGAATTGGGAATTTGACCGATAATCGAAACGGAGATGTAGACCACGGTTTCTATTGGAGGAAATTTGATGTTACTATTATTAGCCAGGATGGAAGCAGGTAGGTCGATCATGGTGTTAGTTGCTTTTAGTGAAGTTTTATCGAGCTATGAGGCTGATGATTGGCTCCTTTTGGTGAAGTAATATTGCGTATATCAACCATAAAACATAGATATACGACCGTGTCGGCTGGCTCGACAGTTTCATCCAGTTTTACCGGCCGACTCTATGTTACACACAGACGGCTCGATTGAACGCAATGAAGCCACTAATTTGACGCGGTCATTGCCCGTTTAACGGCGACATTTGGCCGCAATGAGGTCGGGAATGACTGTATTGTGGCCACGGTACAGAGCCAATATACTCGGCGGCGCTGGTGGATTGCGGCCGGTGGTGGGCTATGCTATATATTTACGTCAGCAGACACTCCACAACACGGTGGCTATTACGTGTCAATTGTCAGTGAATAAAACGGTTGGGGAAGTCAAATGGGACACGGCACACAACAATCATCCGCTGAAACAACAGCACACACAACACTAACACACGCACAATCACTCCAAATAAAAGAAACGTTTCGCTGCCGGTTTAAAAGCTGCTGGCTCGAGCCGTGTCACTTCACTAGGCATAGAGTTTAAAAGCGAGGCTGCTCGGTATGCAAACCCTCGCCGCCCGACCACTGTTCTTGTAGCTGGCGGGCGCAAGTCACGGTCTTGTCTAGTGGGGCGGTTACACTGCCGTGCGTCGGCGAAAGTCACAAACAGTGAGGCGAGCTCCTCAGGCTCGCCCAGGGCACGGATTCTATGCGCAATGATAGCGGTCTGCGCATCACACATCTGGCGCGGTGTGTGCAGGCCCAGGTCGTCCCGCGCGCGAGACACACGATCGTACTTTCGGAGACCGGCTGCTACTCTGGTGGCAAAGTTCACAACTTTCAGTAGCCTCTCGTTGTTAGCCGCGGAGCCGTTCCCGTACACAGATAGACAATATCTCACGCGCGAGACGACCAGGCCCTGCACGACCGCAAGAAGCGCCCGCCGCGGGAGGAGGCGCCTCAGGTGGCGGAGACCGATCAGGAGGCCGACACACTTACGTACCACGTCACTGACATGAGCATCCCACGTAAGGTGGCGGTCGAAAATGACACCAAGGTTTTTAACATATTGGCTCTCCCGAACGGTCCCGCCACCGACCCGCACGCTGACAGGGGGGAGATCTCTGGTATTCTGTCGGGTGCCAAGGAGGAGGATTTCCGTTTTGGACGTGTTGAGTTTAAGTCCGTGGGCATGGAACCACGATGCCAAGGAGGTGAGGGTAGACTCCATGCGTTGGATGAGGTAAGGAAGATTGCGCTTGGTATCGGAAATAAGGATTTGGGTATCGTCAGCGTACTGGGTCACATGAGCGTCCGGCGCGTGCAGACTGAGGTCGTTGGCAAAAATGGTGAATAACAGAGGACCGAGGGCTGATCCTTGGAAGACTCCCATGGTGTTAGGAAGGGGCTTCGAAACCACTCTGTCACCGGAAAGAGAAGAGATACAGACAGACTGAGTGTGACCGGTGAGGTAGGAGGAAAACCAGGTCGGGTGGATGCCATAGAGCTGGAGCTTGGAAGCTAGCAGTGAGTGAGGAATGACATCAAAACATTTACTAAGATCCAGAAGGCAGAGGAGGGAGATAAGGCCACGGTCCATGTTGGAAAAAGCGCGATTAGTTACAGAGAGCAGAGCGGTTTCGGTAGAGTGAAGAGGACGAAAACCGTGCTGGGATGAAGAGAGAAAGTGGTTGTTAGACATGTAGGCGGAAAGTTGTCGGTGCACTAAGCGCTCGACAACTTTGGCTATGGTGGGGACGATCGAAATAGGACGGTAGTTGGAGACCAGATCAGGATCACCGGACTTAAAGATAGGATGGACTAGGGAGTGCTTCCAAGCATCGGGATAGTCACACGTGGAAAGACAGGTATTGACAACATGGAGCAGGATGGGACCAATGGCTTCGAAAGAAAGGAGCAGGATGCGAATACAGACGCCGTCAGGTCCACACGCACCGGAACGCTTCATGGAGAACACCACCTCCC